GCACATACAGCCCCTCTGGGTGTCGCACATACAGCCCCTCTGGGTATCTAGAAGTTCAGGGTGGCACTGCCTGTCTGAAAGGGGCTTATAAGTATTTATTTATGCACAGACAACTGTAAATAAAATATGTCACGATACATGAACAGGTTGAATACATAAACAGGCTCACTGCTACTCTCTTTCAGGGAGTGATTATGGCCAATGGATGGATGGATGGATGCTGCAATTATAATTAAATTGACCTTGTGCTTGTTTGTTCAAGGGAAAAATGCTCAACAAATCCTCACACACAAGTACACCACATACAGCATGGTGGTTTTCAGCCTCTTAAGTAAAATCCTGAGCTTCTGTGATGCTGTTTTGAAGCTTCAGGCCTGTTTGGTATATAAACACTGGCTTTTCCTGTCATTCAGCTGCAGGGAACAGAAGTGCGAATGTGTTCCACATTGTTATTCCAGTCACAGCACAGTAGAATAAGCTCATTAGTACTAATTACAAGCTTCTCATTCCATTGCTTTGCAGATTGACCTGTTGTAACCTGTGTGATTAGAGATGTTAATATTTCATTCTGGAACAAAAAAAGTTAATAATCACCTCACATGAGGCTTGGGGACATTCTGAAGTCGGGCATGTGGTCAACCGGGGCCACCACTGTGGAAGCTGACTAGAACTGGGGCTTCATGCCTGTGTGATGCTATCAAAGGGTCCTGCTGCCGTCAGCTTCACCTGCAGGCTGTGAGGAGACTCTCATCAATGCACCTGGATGCTTCACTATACGACCAAAAGTATGTGGCCACCAGCTTGGTCAACATCTCAGCCCGAAACTGAGGGCATTAATATGAAGCTACTCAGACTGTTGTTTCTACTGTACTCCTTGAGGAAGTTTTCCATCAGATGCCAGAACATGGCTGCTGGGATTGGCTGCCATTCCATGCAGGTTGGCTATTGAAGTTCAGTGATCAGGTCCCTTTCTGTGAGCATTTGTTGCTGCCAATTCGTTACTGAACTTGATCCCAGATATTTTGACCTTCACAATCACCTCACTTGCCCTTGACCAGTAGCAGGCCAGAAATGTGGCAAATTGACTTGTTAGAAAGTTGGCGTCCTATGATGACAAGTGTAAAGTCACTAACCTCTCTGGTACAGCCACCAGTTCTGCTGCTAATATTTATTGCAGGAGATTAAGTGACCATGTGTCAGAAATGGATGTGGCTAAATTAGGCAATTCCTCTAATGAGCAGAGGTGTCCACATACTTTACAAACTTTACCATTCCATTCAGCAAGAAGGTAGCTTGGATGGAACTTCTTTGAACGCCTGGCTTGTCCGCCTGGGTTTATACAGCTATAGTGTCAGGTGATTCTGTCGTGCTGCAGTAGCTCTGTTTGCCATCTTCTGCCGTCCTGCACGGAACCAGCAGCAGCGCACATCTCTACAGTGATGGCTGCTGCCCTGCTTAGGTCCAGCTAAGGCGCCGCTCTGAGACGGTCCTCTGGAAAGTCAGAGGTCTCACTGGAGGAGAACACACTGGACCGTCTGGGAGGAAATTATTGGATTTTAATGAGAACAGAGTTCATTTGTATCATTACATACACTCAATAGTGAAAGAATGTTTGACAGCTCATAGACTATCACAAACGGTAGTTCTGCTGTACGTCAGTCTATAATGCCTTTGTATTATAGGCTGTTGTAGAAACTCGGTTATGTAGCAATATTGCAGGTATTTTCATATATTAACTGGCTATCTGCTGATAACCTTGATCTGTTTAATTTACTTTCTGAGTTGCTTCAGACAAAAGCAAATAAGTTCACGTTATATATACACTACTGGTCTCACATGTCAAATGCTGCAGGGTCCATTACATCTCATTTCCTCTCCTGTTCTTTCATTCTCAGTGCTGATGGGGGCCCTGAGCTATGTTTTTTTTTGTGACATCATACGTAACCCGTGATTTTCATGTTTCATTTTGTTGATGCCCTTTCCATGGCAACAAGTGGTTTAATGAGAACACAGTGCAAAGCAGCAGAAAGGAGATATGAATGCGTGAGTCGGAATCGCCTTGCATGTGAAGAAGGTGTGAGATGTGTGTCTGCAACTGGGTTCTGATACAGTGTGTCTGACACCGAGCCGGTCCAGTAACTAAGCCAGTGGTTGGGGGGGGGGGGGGAGAGGATATTTTCTTTCCTGAAAGATGAATTGCAGAGGATTTTAGTACAGTACAGAATTACCATCAATAATTTTTTCCATTGACTGAGGTTTTAGGTAAAATCAAGGGCATATGCATACATTATGCAAATAAGTCATTGAAAATGGATGCTTGAAACTCTTTAGACTGGACTGGAACCAGTGGATGTTGAACATTTCAGTGTGGCTCTCCTTAACTCACAGTGAAATAAAATAAAATAAAACTCACAGTGAAATAAAAAAAGTGCTCAGTCCTGCTCCAATAATATATTTTACATAGTCATGAAACAATCTGTTTTTAAAATGAGTTAAAAGTGAGAAATGCAATCTTTTAAAAACGGCTTGATTCCAGATGACAGTGATTGTGCCTGAGGTCTCGTGGTGATAGGACCCCGCTGATGGGGCAGGCGAGCGAGAGTGGGCCGGCGCCGACGTCCGCGTGGAGACGGAGAGTGGGCCGGCGCCGACGTCCGCGTGGACCAGCACATCATGCTCGTGAGAAATTAGTTATGTCCACATCTGTGTAGTTTATGTACAATACAGGAGAACAATTGTTACACCAACTCCATATATCAGCCTAAGAAAATGATATGGGGCTTTACACGCACCATACGGATGACAACCTTGACTGGTTGCCTCACGAGCACCTACAGCTATAAGACAGACTGAAGACTCAGGTTCTCACTGAAGACTCAAACACAGAGAGTGCATGTGCAGGAATGCCAGACAGGCGCAGGCAGATTATGCCACAAGGCCCAGCATGTGAAGCTTCTGCTCACTTTCGTCAACTTAATTCTCAAATACAGCAGGTTAACTAAAGTCTAATGAAGTAACGGGGATGTGTAGGCAGATCCCAGGTACACATCAGTACAAGTCAGTTTAAGGCCTTTGAAGGTGAGAAGTCTTTTATATCTACTTTAGACAGGCAGCCGGAGTAAAAGGCAAGCAGGATGGCTGCTGTGGAGCAGGTCTTAATTCTAAAAGGAACTGGGGCATATCCATTCTGCAGACAGACAGCAGAGACGTTCAATAATCTAGTCTAGAAGTAAGGAATGTGGATTGCAATACTATTCAGGGACCGCAGGTTTGGAAACAGGGGCTATGTTCTGCAAAAGAAATACATGGAGTAAAGGTGAGGTCCTGTGGTGCAACACTAAAGTCTTGTATTAAAGCATTTGTGTATATATGGAAGCCACCCAGAATTTGGGAACATCACTTCTCGTACTGGAGGTCATAATATAGTCTTATTGATATTTAGAAAACAGCTCATAAAGCTGTGTTTCCTTTAATATAGACATACTTTAAATGTAGTATCGATGCACAGACTTTAAACATAACTCTGTGCATCTAACTGTAATACTGTAACTGTGAAATAATTCTACAGCACAAACACCGTCAATGGAAATTTACTCTTCACCGACTGCCTGTCTTGGTGTCGAAGGCGGAGTTGTAAACTAGCAGTGTAATAAATTAAGGCTGTGAAGTAAACTGGAAAAAGCAAATCAATCAAGAAGTGCGAAGTAATTGCAAAATACAGCGCCTGTGCCGTTTCGGTGCTGAAAGACCGCGTCTGTCTCCTCTGCCGCTGCCGCTTCACTGCCGCTGCCGCTGCACTGCCGCATTGGCAGCCAGACTGCGAGCTGTTTTCGGAATCCGGAAATGATGAAAAATGTTTCAGGGGGAAAAGACTTGACTTTTCGAAGGAAGCGAACAAACGGCGGGCTGAGGAGCGGAGAGAAGAGAGAGAAGAAAAAGAAAAGAAGACGAGGAAAGGGAGTGACTGTAGACTTGGCGACAGCGGCGTTACCGATGAGTAGAAAGTAAAGTGAGAAAAGACAGATTTCATTACAGAGAAGTAGCAAGAAAACATCCATAGCGAGGATATTGCGGAAGATCGGCTGCGGGGAAACTACGGCTGACTGGAGATCCTCTGCGGGAAGAGCATGGGAGCTGGTGGGATCTGAGCCGGAGGAGCTGGCATGTCCGAGAGGTACGTGGAGAAGTTTGCAAAACCGCCCTTCCAGCAGGTGCCAGGTACAGCTACGGCTGCGTCTTTATGCACATGTGCATATGCTTACTGCCAACTTTCGATACAAATTGACAAACCCGTAGAAGCGAAAGGATGGGCGCTCGGCCGTGTTAACGCGCCCGGACCCGCCGCTTTCTCCCCCCAGGCTCATACCCTGACAGCCGCCCCGACACCGCCGCTCTGTCCCCCCCCCAGGCTCGCACCCTGACCGCCGCTCTGTCGTCCCCCCCCAGGCTCGCACCCTGACCGCCGCTCTGTCGTCCCCCCCCCAGGCTCGCACCCTGACCGCCGTGCATGACCAGCGCTGGCCCATGTCCCGGGACACGGTCTCGCCTTCGCAAGGGCCCGGCGGCCCGGAGACGGAGCTCCAGCGCGAAAGGCGCCCCTTTCTTTCCGGCGAGCATGGTAGGAGAAGACGGAGCGGCCGGGCGGGTTTATTTTCGGGCTTAAAATAACTGGCAGTAACGGCTCTTGTACATTGCAGTAAGTAACGGCTGCTTGGCTGGTTTATCTGGGTCTGTTATGTTGTCATTTTACAATAGGATGCAGTCTGTATATAGTACATGACACAGATTTAGTGTAAGATTTCTGCCTTGTACTTTTATATAACATTCTGATTTAATACTAGGATCAAGACGGTAATTTTTTATTTCAATAAAACCATATGTTTTTTTCAGCTGCAGTAACTACATTCACATAAAATATAGATGAAGTATCAGTAACGACCATCCTGATGAAGACTAGTGATAAAGCAGACTCCGAACCACTCAGGATCAAAATGCTGAAATTATTGTCATGTTTGCCTGTGTGGCTGTGATAGAGTTCGTAAATTACTTCTAAATAACGGACTGGAAAAATGCCTTTGCGACTGTAATTGCAACCACAGTCAATTATGGTTTTAATTAACTTTCTGGTTGCCCTTAAGATCCTCCTATGTAAAATAAGCCTGTACACATTTTTTAATCAGGCATTCAACCATATCACACCGTCCTATTTATACTGTGGGTCATTAAAGCACTGTCAAAAGCCTTAAAGTAGGACAAAGTAAGCAATTAAGGAGATAAAAGGGAGAATAGATTATCCCTGTACTGGCGTTTTTTCTCCACAATGATCAAATAGACTGATTCATTGCCAGCCAGTTTCGAAGATGCAGTTTGTACCTACAGTAGGTCTGTATTATCTGACCTTAGGAGCATAACTAACCCAAGGCAGTAGTGAAATCCACACCTTTACTCCACTGAAAAGCGACTTCTTTACTGAATCAAAACTAGATACTTGTTCCTTACAATATGAACATCAGCACAGAACAGCCCTGTGGGGAAGGGAAAAAAAATCATCTTTTGCTTGCCTGTGGGGCTAGAAAACCAGCCGAGCAAAAGGTAAAGTGCAGTCTGAGTATCAGCGTCTGGGATTGAAAGCCCGGCTGCCTGATGCTGCTGCCCGCTGCTTTGCTGCAGGGCGAAACCGCGAAGGACAGACACCTTGGCTGCAGCAGGTACAGCGGGTTTGTCCTTAAGTGACCTTCTGCTGAGACTTTGCTGCGTGAGGGACGTGCAGAGCAGGTTGGGCTCCCATCACAGGCCGGAGGAGGGAGACCGTCATCAGTGCGTAAAAACGGCAAAAACAGCGATTAGAAATTGAGATTAGGCCCCATTTAAGCTGTAGAGTTCAAAACAAAACAGAAGTAAGGCGATACTGCATCACACCATCCATATTCCAGCCACGTAACCACAAGGTCACAGGCTTAAAGCAATGCTGGAAAACCTGAAAAAATGAACAGAATAAAAGGGTACCGTGATGACGGTCCAAACCACCAATCCCACTTACAGACAGACGTCCCAGTGCTCTCTGTCACCCAGCTGGTCCGCTTTATCAGTTAACCGAGTCAGGCCCAGCTGGGCTGCATTAACTGGGGCAGATGCTGACACTGGGCGGGTCATGTAGCTGGGGAATGTGGACTCGCCTGGGGCCCTCAGCTCCCGCATTCTGTCAGTGTGATGCTGCAGCACAGTGAATTCACTGATTCCAAAAGGGATTTTTCTACAGATTTTGTGTAGCTGGCTACTGAAACAGGAAGTTTCTCTCTCACCGAACAGCGTTTGCCTGCTCATCTGTGTCCCTGTATTGTTTTTTGAGTAGATGCAAGGCTCACTGTGTACTGTGTTCATTTGGATGAACACTCTTTATAACTCTGAAACTTCTGGCAGGATTGGTTTTCCCATGGGAGTGATCATTAAAATTAAGTCCAGAAATCTGGAGGCAGTGATACCTGATACAGCTTTCACTATTGTGCAACCTTTTGGTGAAGGAATATATCTGCGGGGGTATAAACGCAAGCCGTCCCTCCTGGCTTCTGTTTCCGGATCTGGAGCCCAGTAAAATCGATCTTGTAGGTCCAGTTTACATCCCATATATTTCTGGAAAATTCCATGATCCATCTGCGTGTAATTTAGGGGAGGGAGTGTAGACTTCACATTGCTGTTTGTGTAAATGTAAATAAAATTCTGAGTATGAAATAGCAGCAGTGAAACACACTTCTGTCTTGCTTAAAATCATTTTAGATGGGAATAATCCCACAAAAGAAAATTCTCTGGAAGAAGCGTACTTTTATTGAGATGAAGAATTCCATTTAAGTCCTTGTGGCATATGTTTGCTAGTGGATTCTGTAACTTTTTTCTATAACATAACTTGATATTTGTGCAGTTATTAATATGCAACATACAATGGGGTTATTGTACGACAGAATCTGGATCTAGCTACTCAACCAAATAAAAAGCAGAATTTGTATTAGTCATCCTGAATATTTCTGACAGCTTAAGTATAATTGCACAATTATAAAACATGTTTAATGTCTTTTTTGAATTTTTTTTTTTGTGAAAGTGTTGCAAGGTTTTAACGTGATACTTTGTTTTGTTCCAGATGAGACAGATCAGCCAAATGAGTCGCAGAACCCAGGGGAAGAGACAGGAAGCCTGTCTTGTGGAGAGGGGTGTGACCAGGGTCACGTGACCGGGGAAAACATTCACATGGATGACCTCATTAGAAGTAGGTGGCATAAGTAAACATAAAATAGCAGCACTGGAAGATTTGGGTTAAGGGTATTTAATGACACCACACATGTGTAAATTACTTGCTTGTTAGTCCAAAGGTACTTTAAGTTTATATATAGTATTTTGGTTTGAAAATTGTGGTAAGACTTTCATCCAAGAAACTGGAGCCAGTTTGCTTGTCCTTTCGAACAAGTGTTGCTGTATGTCCATGGATATTTCTAGGTTTGAGGACTACTGAAGAGTTAAATGCTTTGTTCAGATAGTGAAGCATTTCATGACTGCTGTTACCAGCCATGCCCAAGTGGAATTTCATGCTCCCTATATATTGTGTTTAGGAAAAAAATAGTTTTATGCCAAGCACAGAAAAAAACAAACATTTGTTTTTGAGATCCTTGCAGTTCACAGACCTGAATTTCTGAGTGTCAGACGGGCATTTTGACTGATTGTTCTTAGCTAGTGAGATTTTCTAGGCCAGTTTGGCACTGATGTGTTTCACGGCTGTCAGGAAGCAGGGAGGAACGGTCAGTGACATACGTGGCACAGGTGCCCCAATTGCGCGTTAGGCTTGGGCACTATGACAGTATTACAGTGTACCCCACTATTTAGAATGTTTAATGCCACAAAAACAAAATGCACCAATGCGCATGCGGCCCCAGGTCAGGGAGTGACAGCGGCATTGTCAGTAAACAAAGGGTGATCTTTCTAACTCTTCACCTTTGGATGTGTCATTAATATTCCAGGTGTACGACTAATCTGCCTACCAAATTATGGGCATAAGCAAATATCTATAGTACTGAAAAGCCGTTTGCAGATCTCTTCTTGTTTCCCAAGCACTCAGGTTCCACACTGATGAGCCTGGAATCTCTGATTCTCCAGTTTATGGTAGCTGAAGAGGAAACTGCATAAAGGAAATAAAAAAACATGGTGAATCTTTTTGCCAAATGACAGATAGCTAGTGAAATGTAAGCGACAGCAGGAAGCAGAGTAGCCAGACTGGTTTGATCACGATGAGGCATCCTGAGACGTCACCGTCACACAGTACCTGCACAGCTCCTTAGTATCCCGGGGCCTGGCCCAGAGCCACTCACAGTTCTCCATCCTTGGCCCTCAGCCACTCACAGTTCTCCATCCTCGTGTGGCCCGGCACCGGCGACATCACGGCCGTGGTTTTTGGTCCACTAGCCAGTTGTCTCGGCGGATGTGACTCTGATCTGCACTCCAGCGAGGCAGCAGGCTACACGTGCGGCTCTCGGCTTCGGAGCTCGCCAGCTTCTGAGGACTTTTCTAGAAGCGGCAGCAGATGGGCTCCGCCCTCATGCTGTTTTTTTTTACATGATTGTTTGCCTTTCACACAACAGCTCTTTGTTTCATACGATTCAGCTTTTCCACCCGCTGACATTTTGGCTTTTTTCTTTTTTTCTTCTTCTCGCTCTGGTCCAGGTACATTCCTTCCCCCTTTTACAGTATCTGTGCCTCATGACTTGTATATTTTTTCCTTAATCTTCACACCCACCGCGTTCCTGGTATCGCGGGCCTGCTCCCCCACTTAAACATAACCACCAAAAAGAGTTGCCAAAACTTCACCGAGTCCTGGCTGTTTGGAAGGTGGCAGAGTGCATTAGTCAGTAGTGAGAACAGCGCCTCTGTGTTCCGTTTTGACTCCTAAGCTGACGTGTCCGCCCCTTTGAGCTCCCCCCAGCCTCTGCCTGACGTGTTCCAACCCTTCTAATGGAGGGAAGTGTGCCTAAAGACGAGCACAGAGTCAAATGTGATTGGCTGACGGATGAGGGGGCTGAAGCTCTCTGTCAGGTAACGGCCTGCTTACTAGCAATGGCCAACCATGGGATTCTAACCAGCATCAATCTCAGCACAAGCACAGCATCCCAGCCCACTGAGCCACACCCTGCCCTTAAAGAGACAGGCACAGCATCCCAGCCCACTGAGCCACACCCTGCCCTTAAAGAGACAGGCACAGCATCCCAGCCCACTGAGCCACACCCTGCCCTTAAGAAGACGGCATCTTAACAGAAGGAAGCTGTTTCTCCAGAATCAGGGGGGATCCTTCGGTTTAACTTGGCAGTTCTGGCCCTGCCCTCTCCTGTAGGCTTCTGCGCATTGGTGTTTCCTATATGCTCTTCAGAGAGTGACCGCCATACCCTACTCCCATCCAGGGTTGGTTGCCTGACCTGCGCTGTCTCCAAAAATGTCCATGTGTCATAATCAGTGAGGCAGTTGTCGGGTGTGTTAAACACTTCACCTGAAGAAGTCACCACTAGCTGGTAATGGGCACCAGAACCCTGTTATAGCCTTCAGAAATAAGGACAGATGCACATTTTAGCGTGTGCTGCCCCCGGTGGTGGTTTCAGTGCATCTGGGACAGGCCCCCAGATAAATAAGATGAAATGCATAAGCCAGAGGAGACGTGAGCCATTCATGTCTATGTTGGCTCCCGTCCCAGATGGAGCTGCGTCGTTTGTAATTCATTTACTTCAATTACAGGAGTGCTGAGGAGGTAATTGTTTCTCCCAGCGCCCAGGGAGCGTTCCTGTGTGATTATGTCGTAAATAGCGACTCGCAGCAAAGCCTGCGACGGAGCGGGCTTCGCACTTGTCTGAGGACGAGGCTGTAACAACGTCGTGGGGAGGGACAAGCCTTTAGGGGATGGATTTGGCAGAAGAGCCGCTTAGAGCCGCCTGGGGTGAATTTCCTGTAGCTGTATCTGTAGGGAATGGGTGAGGTCCACTGGAGAGGGGGGAAAAAACTCGAAAATAGTAAACATTGAGGTCAATGTCAAGGCCGTGCTTCTGGGGAAGACATTAAGCGAAGTGTGTGTTAGTATGCAGAACGTTATGGCTGTAGAATGTAAGAGGAATGATGTTACATGTTAGACGGGAGATGTGGTGTTTGGTAACGGGTGCAGAGGTGCTTCTTCTCCAAGGACGCTGAGAATCCTGAAATACCGCTCTTCACAGATGCTGTTACCGCTATTTTACTATCACTTATTCTATTGATTCTATATAATTTAATTTTTCTTTGCATTGTGTATATTCCAGCAGGTGGAAAAGCATTTGACTACACGGAGCAGTGCATGATTGTGTGTGACAAAACTGGAGGAAAGTGATTACAAATATTTTAGGTGTTTCAGTATTTCTGATAATGCAGGTGTTTAGTATCACGACGTGATACACTTCTTAATCTTAGTCTAGTTACTTAGTTTTTCTAGATATGGCAGAATTTTAATCTTAATTTTGTATGCGAGCTTGAGGGGCGTTTTAGTGCCTGGGAGCTGGTCACTGAATCATGAACTGTCTGAGATGGATGGGCAGCCGCACCAGGCCTGATCACACCAGCGGTTATAATCTCACCTCTGCTGGCACCTAAACGTAGATTTAAAGCTGTAATCATGGGCACTCCTGCAGTTTAATATCTGCCACCACTCGTTCCATTTCCTGGAGGACCTGTGCAGTCCTGAGGCCTGTCGGCGGTAGTGGCTCTGACGTCCCCGTTTCCTGCATGAATACATACCCGCAGTTCGCAGTGGGGACTCGGTGGGGACCCAAGGGTGAGGGGTTGGGGCTGGCGGTGCATTTCGTTTCTGACACTGAAAGCCTTTAGTGTAAAACCGATAATAGCTGGAATTGCTCCTCCTATCTGGCCAGATTAGGTTGACCTTTCACCTTGTAGTGTTAGCATTCGGGTTAGTGGTTGCAGTCAGGTTAGCTTTAGCATTCGGGCTAACTTTAGCAGTTGTGTTAGCGTTAGCATTCTCGAGCATGATTCTGGGAAAATGGCTACCATCCTGCGGCTGTTAGCCTGGACATCTTCAGCCCAGTGTTGTTGCTTTTTCCGTCCCTCTGCGGTAATGACAGTGATGCGTGACAGTGTCCTGATGCCCTGTGCAGCTGCATTGTGCCGCTGCTCCACCAGACAGGCCTGTTTCCTCCGGACCAGTTAAGGACTCAGTGGAATATATTAGTCACTGATATAGCTGAAAGGAGCCCCCCACCCCCCCAGCCCCTTTCCCGCCGTTGTTGCTAATGGGGCCGAGGGTGGGGCCCGCTGCAAGCTCGGCAGCTCGTGGAAAGTCGTGCTGACTCACCGCATAACTGACCTTCCTAAAAAAAGCAATGAATAAACAGTGTGAGAGCTGGGGGGGTGGCTGGCAAGGGGGTCTTGCTGCCACATCTGCATGGCATGTGTGCCTGTCAGTGTCGCAGTAGATGTACAGGCTGTCGGCTTTTTGGGAACGTTGTGATCGTCTCTCCCCTGCAGCCACCGTTTGTGTCTTAGCTGAAAGTCACCACGTGTCATGGTGTCCGGGCTGGAAATCCCAGGATGTTTTTAACATCTTTTGTGGGGCTGTGCCGGTGCTGTGGGGGCAGTTTGTTGCGTCCCCTGGTCACGGGCGGTTTGTTGCTTCCCCTGGTCACCGGCGGTTTGTTGCGTCCCCTGGTCACGGGCTGTTTGTTGCGTCCCCTGGTCACGGGCTGTTTGTTGCGTCCCCTTGTCACGGGCGGTTTGTTGCGTTCCCTGGTCACGGGCGGTTTGTTGCGTTCCCTGGTCACGGGCGGTTTGTTGCGTCCCCTGGTCACGGGCGGTTTGTTGCGTCATGGGCTGTTTGTTGCGTCCCCTTGTCACAGGCGGTTTGTTGCGTCCCCTGGTCACGGGCGGTTTGTTGCGTCATCGGCTGTTTGTTGCGTCCCCTTGTCACAGGCGGTTTGTTGCGTCCCCTGGTCACGGGCGGTTTGTTGCGTCCCCTGGTCACGGGCGATTTGTTGCGTCCCCTTGTCACGGGCGGTTTGTTGCGTCCCCTGGTCACGGGCGGTTTGTTGCGTCCCCTGGTCACGGGCTGTTTGTTGCGTCCCTTGGTCACGGGCGGTTTGTTGCGTCCCCTGGTCACGGGCGGTTTGTTTGTTGCGTCCCCTGGTCACGGGCGGTTTGTTTGTTGCCTCCCCTTGTCACGGGCGGTTTGTTTGTTGCATCCCCTGGTCACGG